ATTTTGTCCTACCCGAGTGCTAATTTTGTCCTAACTGCCTAATTTTGTCCTACCTGAGTCCTAATTTTATCCTACCTGAGTCCTAATTTTATCATACCTGGGTCCTAATTTTGTCCTACCTGAGTCCTAATTTTGTCCTACCCGAGTCCTAATTTTGTCCTACCTGAGTCCTAATTTTATCCTACCTGAGTCCTAATTTTATCCTACCCGAGTCCTAATTTTATCCTACCTGGGTCCTAATTTTGTCCTACCTGAGTCCTAATTTTGTCCTACCCGAGTCCTAATTTTGTCCTACCTGAGTCCTAATTTTATCCTACCCGAGTCCTAATTTTATCCTACCTGGGTCCTAATTTTGTCCTACCTGAGTCCTAATTTTGTCCTACCTGAGTCCTAATTTTGTCCTACCTGAGTCCTAATTTTAACATTGTTATAATTTTTGCTGGTCCTACATAATGTTTGCCAAGTGGCGTTTACCCAATGGTGGCTAATGCTACGACAATCAATTTTGTACTCATTAATGTCCTGCCCTTGTAACACACCAGGGGCACTCCGAGACAACGTTATCCAGGCCAAGTTTCATAATGGGACAATATTACCCAGATCAACGCTAATAATGGGATAACATTATCTAGATCAACGCTTACAATTGGATATTATTCAGATCAACTCTCATAATGGGACAATATTGTTAAAATCCCTTCGACAATGCAAGACTTCTAAAGTATCAATTGTTTTTCGTAAACATTGAAAACAATTTGTTTATTGTTATGAACAAAATGTTTCAAACAAAAATTGTTTACAGAAGGGGACGTTATTGTTTACCGAAATTGATATTTACAGGTCCAAATTTGATCTTACAACGCACCTGATAAATCTAAACTGATCCTAAGTTGACAAACATGTCTAAACTAAACTCAGTTTTACAGACACGTTTAGACTAAGCCTAAATGTACAAACAAGTCTCAAGGAATCTTTACCTAACATAGAAGATTTAATTTCTCCTCACCTGGTATTAACTTTACACTTAACTTCAATTGCCCTATACTTAATTACTTAATACAATCAAAAAAAAAAAAAAAAAAGGAAAAAAAAATGATCTCAATCAACAGTCTAAAATATACTTTCCCTGATCTATCAGCTATGACCTAGCCTCGACTGACCTACAAGACCTGACATGCATTGACCTCACCATCATGATGACAGAGCGGGGTGACTCACAACTGTCTTTTTGTTCAAACTCAATCAATAAAAATACCTGCAGATATCACCATGACAACGGGAGATGCCGTGAATGGTCGTGGTTAACTTGAAGCTAAGTTTTAGTTTAAGCAAGAGACTTAGTTCAAGACATTTTTAACAATGTAAAATGTAAATTTATTTACCAGATTAGTTAATCAAGTGAACGATTTGGTGAAACATGTAGGTCAGACATATGTTGGTCAGACAGACGTGTTGGCCGGATATATTAGTCAGATAGACATGTTGGTCAGATGTATTTGTCAGATAGACATGTTGGTCAGACATGTTGGTCAGATAGACATGTTGGTCAGACATGTTGGTCAGATAGACATGTTGGTCAGACATGTTGGTCAGACAGACGTGTTGGCCGGATATATTAGTCAGATAGACATGTTGGTCAGACATGTTGGTCAGACATGTTGGTCAGATAGACATGTTGGTCAGATATATTGGTCAGATAGACATGTTGGTCAGATAGATATGTTGGTCAGATATATTGGTCAGATAGACATGTTGGTCAGATGTATTTGTCAGATAGACATGTTGGTCAGATATATTGGTCAGATAGACATGTTGGTCAGACATGTTGGTCAGATGTATTTGTCAGATAGACATGTTGGTCAGATATATTGGTCAGACAGACATGTTGGTCAGATGTATTTGTCAGATAGACATGTTGGTCAGATATATTGGTCAGATAGACATGTTGGTCAGATGTATTTGTCAGATAGACATGTTGGTCAGATATATTGGTCAGATAGACATGTTGGTCAGATGTATTTGTCAGATAGACATGTTGGTCAGATATATTGGTCAGACAGACATGTTGGTCAGATGTATTTGTCAGATAGACATGTTGGTCAGATATATTGGTCAGACAGACATGTTGGTCAGATGTATTTGTCAGATAGACATGTTGGTCAGACATGTTGGTCAGATAGACATGTTGGTCAGACATGTTGGTCAGATAGACATGTTGGTCAGACATGTTGGTCAGACAGACGTGTTGGTCAGATGTATTTGTCAGATAGACATGTTGGTCAGACATGTTGGTCAGATAGACATGTTGGTCAGACATGTTGGTCAGACATGTTGGTCAGATAGACATGTTGGTCAGATATATTGGTCAGACAGACATGTTGGTCAGATGTATTTGTCAGATAGACATGTTGGTCAGACATGTTGGTCAGATAGACATGTTGGTCAGACATGTTGGTCAGATAGACATGTTGGTCAGACATGTTGGTCAGACAGACGTGTTGGCCGGATATATTAGTCAGATAGACATGTTGGTCAGACATGTTGGTCAGACATGTTGGTCAGATAGACATGTTGGTCAGATATATTGGTCAGATAGACATGTTGGTCAGATAGACATGTTGGTCAGATATATTGGTCAGATAGACATGTTGGTCAGATGTATTTGTCAGATAGACATGTTGGTCAGATATATTGGTCAGATAGACATGTTGGTCAGATGTATTTGTCAGATAGACATGTTGGTCAGATATATTGGTCAGATAGACATGTTGGTCAGATGTATTTGTCAGATAGACATGTTGGTCAGATATATTGGTCAGATAGACATGTTGGTCAGATAGACATGTTGGTCAGATATATTGGTCAGATAGACATGTTGGTCAGATATATTGGTCAGATAGACATGTTGGTCAGATGTATTTGTCAGATAGACATGTTGGTCAGATATATTGGTCAGATAGACATGTTGGTCAGATGTATTTGTCAGATAGACATGTTGGTCAGACATGTTGGTCAGATAGACATGTTGGTCAGATATATTGGTCAGATAGACATGTTGGTCAGATGTATTTGTCAGATAGACATGTTGGTCAGACATGTTGGTCAGATAGACATGTTGGTCAGATATATTGGTCAGATAGACATGTTGGTCAGATATATTTTTCAGATAGACATGTTGGTCAGACATGTTGGTCAGATAGACATGTTGGTCAGATGTATTTGTCAGATAGACATGTTGGTCAGATATATTGGTCAGACAGACATGTTGGTCAGATGTATTTGTCAGATAGACATGTTGGTCAGATGTATTTGTCAGATAGACATGTTGGTCAGATATATTGGTCAGATAGACATGTTGGTCAGATGTATTTGTCAGATAGACATGTTGGTCAGATATATTGGTCAGATAGACATGTTGGTCAGATGTATTTGTCAGATAGACATGTTGGTCAGATATATTGGTCAGACAGACATGTTGGTCAGATGTATTTGTCAGATAGACGTGTTGGTCAGATGTATTTGTCAGATAGACATGTTGGTCAGATATATTGGTCAGATAGACATGTTGGTCAGATAGACATGTTGGTCAGATAGACATGTTGGTCAGATATATTGGTCAGATAGACATGTTGGTCAGATATATTGGTCAGACAGACATGTTGGTCAGATGTATTTGTCAGATAGACATGTTGGTCAGATATATTGGTCAGATAGACATGTTGGTCAGATGTATTTGTCAGATAAACATGTTGGTCAGATGTATTTGTCAGATAGACATGTTGGTCAGATGTATTTGTCAGATAGACATGTTGGTCAGATATATTGGTCAGATAGACATGTTGGTCAGATATGTTGGTCAGACAGACATGCTGGACAGACATGCTGGCCAGACAGACATGCTGGTCAGACATACTGGCCAGCCGCTTTTATGTTGGTCATACATTCTTGCTTACTTCTATTCTCCACACACTGACCAGGCCCGTTTGGTACTTGACTGAAGTTGCGATAAGTAGGTCAGAAAAACACAAGCACCCCCTCCCCCCCCCCCCCTTCCGAAGATTGAATGTCAGCATTGCCAGTGAGTCATGAATGATGGACAGGGTATGAGGCGGGTGTCGCCAGTCCATTGCTTTTTTGGGGAGGAGAGGTGGGGACAGAGAGGAGGGGACTAAAAAGCCTGACAGTCGGAACTAACTAAAAGCAACCAACCCCATATGAAACTCAATTTTGTAGTTGAAAACTAACTAGCCTCTTATGTTCCTAGTCTATTTTATGTATGCGCATGCGTGTCAAGTTATGTCTTGTTAAGTGTTACTCATCCTTTTCTACTGTTTTTAATTCTCCGCTAAAGGGATGTAAGTATATGGGACTGGGTTAAAGGTTAGTGCAAGGGTTAGGCTAAAACCGAATACTTGGGTTTGCCAAAAGTGCTGGGGTTAAGCTAAAGTTAAAAGCTAGTTTTAGACTAAATGTTACTGCTTACATTAGGTTAAAAGTTAGTACCAGGGTTATACTAAAATTCTGTGCAAAGGTTAGGCTAAACGTTAATACTGGTGTTAGGTTAAAAGTTAGTGCTAGGGTTATACTAAAATTTTGTGCAAAGGTTAGGCTAAACGTTAATACTGGCGTTAGGTTAAAAGTTATTGGTAGGGTATGGTGAGGTTAGTGCCAGATTTTGGTAAAATTTACTGTTAGGGTTAAGCAAATAAAAAAATTAGTACTGATAACAAGCATTATAACATTCAAGCTAACCCGATTTTGAGACTGTCCCTATAACATCAAACTAAAAAGACCCCCTAATTGTTGTGGTTAGGTCTATAGGCATCACACAATACAGCTGAAAACCATTAACTTTAGCCCTAGTTCTCTCCCCTCGCCACACTTTCTACGCAGTAACATCTCAACGAGAGGACATTTTTTTTTATAAAACATGGCCAAACGTTGTGCCATAGAAACACCGTACACGCCGTGTCTGTCCCACACACAACATACGCACGGCCACCGGCGCTAGTACGGATCTCAGTACTTGGTCTCTCAATCTCAGGCCTGATTAAAAACTTGAGACTTATCCTGGATTATGTTGCTGGTTAATCCGTTTGTCTGAGAACTAATTGCATGTAAGTAGGCCTAAACGATCCATTTTTTAAAAAGATAATATGCTTTCTTTTTTAAAAAAATAGTATACATTTAAACTAATGACCTCTTGTGACCTTATCAACTTGCCCCCCCCCCTCCCTTCAAATAGAAATGTAGATACTCTGTCTCCTGTCGCATTTCTTTACACCTGTAAGTCAACTGTGACGTAGCCCATGCGCTGAATAGGTGGGCGTATGGCCTAGTTTTTAACTACATGTGTCTCATCGGAATATCAGGCAGGTCTATAAAACTATGGGCCACATGCTTCCACTATAAGTGGCCACGATATTAGGTGGCCATTTGTTATACAGACCACATGCTTCCACTATAGGTGGCCACAATATTGGATGGCCATTTGTTATACAGGCCACATGCTTCCACCATTGGTGGCCACAATATTCGATGGCCATTTGTTCAGCAGGCCACATGCTTCCACCATTGGTGGCCACAATATTGGATGGCCATTTGTTCAGCAGGCCACATCCTTCAATGATTCGTAAACTTGGCCAATTTAATCAATATTAAGAAGCCACACGTTTCAATCGTTGATATAATTGGCCATTGGCCACAATAATGGGAAGGCCACCTTGTTTATATGGGCCACATGTTTTAATTAATAATGTAATTGGCAAGTGGCCACAATAATGGGAAGGCCACCTTGTTTATATGGGCCACATGTTTTAATTAATAATGTAATTGGCAAGTGGCCGTAATATTAGGAAGGCCATTTGTTCTATGGGCCACATGTTTCAATATTGGTAAAAGTGGCCAGTGGCCACACTATTAGAAAGACCATCTGGTTTATGGGCCACTTGTTTAAATTATTAAAGTATCAGGCCAGTGGTCATAATATTAGGATGACCATTTGTTTTATTGGCCAAATGGTTCAATAACAATTGTAATGGACCAGTAGCCACACCATTAGAAAGATCCTCTGTTAATTGGCTCACACGTTTCAATCTCTTGTATAAGTGGCCAGAATATTGTAATGGCCATCGATTCTCCGGGCCACTCGTGTGCTCTGGATACAACCTGACCGAATTTCTATTCAAACAATTAGAGCTACAACTCTAGGGACAGGTGCGATCTACGTTACCGGGATCTTACTGTGTTTCATTCTTTTAAAAAATGTTAATTAATTGTGTAGCTGTGACAGCTGGTTAATGTTGGTACACGGTGCTCAAGGCGTGTGACAACCACCTACACACACCAACCAGCTACACACACCAACCAGCTACATACAGCAACCAAGCTACACACCAACCAGCTACACACACCAACCAGCTACACACAGCAACCAAGCTACACACAGCGACCAGCTACACACGAAAACCAGCTACACACACCAACCAGCTACACACACCATCCAGCTACACACACCAACAAGCTACACACGACAACCAGCTACACACACCAACAAGCTACACACGACAACCAGCTACACACACCAACAAGCTACACACGACAACCAGCTACACACACCAACCAGCTACACACAGCAACCAGCTACACACAGCTACCAGCTACACACAGCTACCAGCTACACACACCAACCAGCTACACACACCAACCAGCTACACACAGCAACCAAGCTACACACAGCGACCAGCTACACACGAAAACCAGCTACACACACCAACCAGCTACACACACCATCCAGCTACACACACCAACAAGCTACACACGACAACCAGCTACACACACCAACAAGCTACACACGACAACCAGCTACACACACCAACCAGCTACACACAGCTACCAGCTACACACACCAACCAGCTACACACAGCTACCAGCTACACACACCAACCAGCTACAAACACCAACCAGCTAAACACACCAACCACCTACACACACCAACCAGCTACACACACCAACCACCTATACACACCAACCAGCTACACACACCAACCACCTACACACACCAACCAGCTACACACACCACCCACCTACACACACCAACCAGCTACACACCAACCAGCTACACACACCAACCAGCTACACACACCAACCACCTACACACCAACCAACTACACACACCAACCAGCTACACACACGAACCACTTACACACACCAACCAGCTACACACACCAACCAGCTACACACACCAACCAGCTACACACCAACCACCTACACACCAACCAGCTACACATTAACCTCCTACACACACCAACCAGCTACACACCAACCAGCTACACACACCAACCAGTTACACACACCAACCAGCTACACACACCAACCAGCTACACACACCAACCAGCTACACACACCAACCAGCTACACACACCAACCAGCTACACACTAACCAGCTAAACACACCAACCAGCTACACACACCAACCAGCTACACACACCAACCACCTACACACAGCAACCAGCTACACACACCAACCAGCTACACACATCAACCAGATACACACACCAACCAGCTACACACACCAACCAGCTACACACACCAACCAGCTACACACACCAACCAGCTACACACTAACCAGCTAAACACACCAACCAGCTACACACACCAACCAGCTACACACACCAACCAGCTACACACACCAACCAGCTACACACACCAACCACCTACACACTAACCACCTACACACCAACCAACTAAACACGTCAACCAGCTACACACACCAACCAGCTACACACACCAACCAGCTACACACTAACCAGCTACACACTAACCAGCTACACACCAACCACCTACACACCAACCAGCTACACACCAACCACCTACACACACCAACCAGCTACACACACCAACCAGCTACACACTAACCATTTACACACACCAACCAGCTACACACACCAACCAGCTACACACACCAGCCAGCTACACACACCAACCAGCTACACACACCAACCAGCTACACACTAACCAGCTAAACACACCAACCAGCTACACACACCAACCAGCTACACACACCAACCAGCTACACACACCAACCAGCTACACACACCAACCACCTACACACAGCAACCAGCTACACACAGCAACCAGCTACACACACCAACCAGCTACACACGTCAACCAGCTACACACCAACCACCTCCCACATATTTGACATTTCTCTACCCCCCACCATCAAGCTAAAGACAACACACCGTCAACTCACAATTAGCTCACCGTCCAACCACTTACAACCCCTTGTGTCAACCTTGAGATGAAAACTAAAATACTTGCTGTCATCTAACACTATACTCAGTCTCTCAAACAACCCACTGACAACCATTTGACAACCAACCCACCATTAATTTCCGAATACCACCCAACTATGGCATTCATTTATAACATTTGTTCTAGCGAGCTTTAGAAATTTCGCAACCTTCTATTTTCTCCTTTGATTTACACAGTACAGCGTCAGTGAAGTAGATGTGTCCTTTACAACTTAACTGGGTGCTAAAGGATACAGTTTAGATTAATGAAGGGATTGTTGTGTGGTCTGCATTTTATTTTCCCCACCGTGAGTTAGGTACCCATCAGAGCTGGGTGGACTCAGGGACTATATACAAACCTGAACCAATTAGATTAATGTTAGGGTAAGGTTTATTTTTAGGATTAGGGGACTAGGGTATGGTTAATGTTATATTTTATATAATCTTGTTAGGGTCGATCTAATGTTAGAGTTAAGATTATTGTTAAGATAATTATTACGGTTAGGGAATTCTATTGTTAGGGTCATTGTATATTTATGAAGGTTTGGGTTGCCTCGCAGAAATTATGCGCGAGTCAACTGAATCGTAAGCTGAGAAACTGTGTTGCCATCAGTTTCTATGTATGCTTATGTTGTGGCTGGTTCAGGGGGGTTGTAACTGTTTCATATAATTTGTAACCGTAAACACTATCGCCCAAGCTGTAAGAATATTACTACTTCATCGTGATAACGTTGTTGACCTTGTCAAAATTTCCCCACCGCTACGCAGTTTGCCCATAAGTAAATTTAAATAGAGGTGCCACATCAGTTATATTTGTGTCTGTATTGTAATTTCAAAAAATAAATTACACGTTTCAAACTGTATATATAAGTAATTATGTGTGAAGTTTTATGTATAACATTTTCTAATTCAATTATTCGTAAGCAAATACATTATACAATTGCCTTAAACTTAACGTCCCTCTTGCCAAGTGGTACTACCCGTAGAGGTTTTTTAAAATTGCAATGCGTCGTAATGGTTATTTTAAGAATGACAAACTGATGCAGCTGTTAATACGTGTTGTAAACGTAGACACTACTAGACCAGGGGTCGGCAACCTGCGGCTCGCGAGCCGCATGCGGCTCTTTTGATATCAAGATGCGGCTCTCCAGCTCCTTGCACAAATACTAATAATCTTAATAAAAAAATAAAATATTTGAAATAAAAAAATGTTAGTGGCTCTTTAAAACCAGGGAAATTTTGAAAATTGTAACTTTTGGCTCTTCCGCTTCAAAAGGTTGCCAACCCCTGTACTAGACTAGTGCAATAATACTTAATTGCTGCATGAAAAGAAATCTTGTGATTTACATAGATGTGCCGACCAAAAATATTTTTTAACAAATATTGTTTAAAACTTTGAGTTTAAAAAGTTTCCAAAAAGGCGCCACTTTGCTGAAAATGGCCAGAGGGGGAGCGGCTGCTCCCCCTGCTCCCCCCCCCCCTGCGTACGCTACAGCTACTACCCCCCCCCCCCCCCACTTTCAAAATTGCTGTTCAATTTATTTTTTCTTAAAACAACGATATTTTTCCAAAATCTTGTTTGAACTACCAACAATGAGTATTTTAACCAATTTCTATCACAATTTATTAAAAAAAAATTTCTAGAACGCGAAAGAACGGCTATAATACGTTTACTAACATTGTTTTTTTATAATGCAAAAATGTGACGTCACGCCACCTGACCCCCCTCCCTCTCCCCCCAGTGGCGTAGCTAGGATTTTCGGGCCCCTATGCAAAAATTATCAATTGGCCCCTTCGTAACCCGTTAGGCCACAACTGAGTCA